GGAAAATAGACTGTTGTTCTACCGTGAGAGCCAAACCAGGTAGTGCTTGAGTGCATGCACTGACTGAGACATCAGTAATGCACTGATTAGATGATTTTGTAATATTTGACTTAGGTAATTTGTGTAAATCATTCCGTGAATGTTGGTAACCTTGGGAAATGCTAGGAGTGGGGAAATCATGATATAGGAAAAAAGAAGCCTGTTCGTTAACAATGTCCAGGAAAGACATTCGTTTCAACTCATAAGGTTGGCGATTTATGGACAAAACTTCAGCCTCGGACAGGACTCGAACCCGTACTTGTGCTCAACAAAAGTCCATTTAACGAATGATCAGTGAGCGTAGAAGTTAAGCGCAATGTTTAGAAAAGCTTTCAGACGAAATCATGTAAGATAACAGGTAAGGAGGCCAATGATTTTAACTCGCGGTTCACTTATTGGATTTCGAATTGGCCTGCCTGGATTGTTGAGTAAACAGGGCTGGATTGAAGGTTATCAGGGTAAGGATCCGGCTCTCAAACCAATGAGGGTTCAATTCCCCAATGACTGTTCAATTCTGGCACCTGTTGGTAACTAGAAATAGGAGCTCGTAGCCAGCACTTCCAAGGATCCCTAGTTCGTGACTATGACGTTCCCACTTTCCCGTTACCCCTCTGGAAAAGTACCCCTGCTGCAGAGTCTTACTCATTCAGCAGGGTCTCTGTGATAACCAAGGAAGTAGGTTATGATACAGAGGGCACAATCTACCGATGAAGTAGCAAGTTTTAACTTTTAACTCTATTTATTCCAACAACAGATTGATTCATTTTCGTGTTCTCGTACTACTGATGACGGCGAAGTTTAGTTTCAGAACGTACGGTGATCGCACCGCAAGTGAATCCAGCTCTTATTATGCAAAGATATTTCAAAGTGCCATTTTCGCGTCCAGCTGATATCTACAAAAATCACAACAACAACAATAACAATAACAACTGTGAGTTTCATTGATTTATTCGATATTCAATGCGATACATCTCCTTCACCGTTCGGGTCACCTCCCTCTATCTAGTCATTTCCAAACAGGATTTTTATACCGTTTTTATGCCTGAGCCCTTGCCACTTGTCCAAAATTTCCTGTATCTGTCTCCTTTACTCGGAGCGGAGGTGGTCTAGTGGCAAGTTGCACCCTACCCCTGACAAGATCCTTGCATCAAATCCCGGATTCACAACCGATCAGGCCAATCATGACTTCCATCTCTCCGGGGTCATTATGTGCTCATCTTCGTTCCAATTTTCACGAGTTTTCCTTCATTTAGCTTGTGTTTACCATTGCTCAGGTGAAAAGAAGGTTGATACAATTATCGCTCACCATTTTTTTCAGGTCTGATCACGGACTCGCGAACCGTACAAAATGGTCTGTGGTATGCGCATTTCAATGGCCAATGGATTCAACGACAAATCGAAATGCACCCGAACAAAACTCCTGTTCTACTCGTAGCTGGTAAATTTCATGATATTTTTTCCTCGTGTTTCGTCGACGACTATCCAAAAAAACTAAATGGAACAAAAGCTTTTTCACGCTACACTTCTTTTCACCGACAGCATATGCATAGGTCCTAACTTTGTGGGACTTCGAGGGGTGCCGTAGTAGAAGCTCGCCATATTATGGCCACACACTGGTAGGAGCTAGCTTCTGGTTCAACTTATTGCATAGTATATGGGGAAGTGGAAGCTTTGCGAGAAGATCCAAATATATTTCCAATCTAAGAACTTCCTTGAGTCGATAACTGGGTGGAAATCTGGTCTCCGAACGGAATTTCGGGCATTCGCAGACTGTTTGGTCACTCAAATTAAACTAGAACAAGTACAACGACGATTTCAGTAACTGCCATGCTTTCAGGACGAGACGACCTTCATATGTGTGAAATTCCTCTCGATCAGACTGGACTTACTCGTAAAAAGGGTGCCGAAATCCTTGAGACCGAATTCGAAACCGTGTGGCTGCATCTTGGTGGAGCACCGATGCAGAAATGGAGGCCATAGCCTCATACCGTCCATCCATCGTCTGCAGTGATCAGGATAAGAACCTTAGCGAATAAGTAGATGTCCTTTTCATCCGTCCATTTCTTTCGTTCTCTTCTCTCATTCCAGCCAATCCTTTCACTAGTCCTCTATTGTATATCTGTGATTGAAATGGGTCGTCAAGTATTCCGTCCGGGAGTATTTCTCTGTAGATCACTTTTTTCTCCTTCTAATAACAATTATGTATGTAGCTAGATGCTCGCTTCCATTGCACTGTACTTGGTAATTAAATAGTTCCCCTTGTCTTCCACTGAATTGACTGCATTGGGCTGCAGTTGTTGCTGTTGTGTAGCGGTGTGCATTCCAGAATGTATAAATTGATGAGCATTTTTGTTTGGATACACGGGACCGGGAGAAAGGCTAATAACATTAAGACGGGTTCGAGTAGTCAGAATTGAACAACCAGTAACAACACAAACTGAAGCGAAACGCAGGGAGAGCGACTTTGGTGCGGCTTTTTGAAAGCTAAACAGGGCTTCCTGGTTACAAAGCCAACAGGCGAGGCGCTGAAAATTCTTGAAGATTCTACATGCAGTTACGAGGGTATTAAAGGCACAGTTCACGATAATTTTGAGTTACCCGTTTTTATTCGAAAAGCGGAAGTATAGATT